AGCACACAGAGGCAAAAAAAAAAAAAAAACAGCACCGGCGAAGAGCAAATAACACGTTCATATTTCAACATATAAATAAAACGGCGAAACAAATGCAAGGCTCTAAAGTGACATGAGTTGCATGACATGTCGCTTGGTGTAAAGGAGCATGGCGGAGATGCCCCGTTTTTTGTTTTTTTTAAATCAGCCCGCTCTTAATTCTTGCCTTGGAATGTCTTCGCAGTGAGGAGACAATTACAGTACATGTGGAAACACAGATTGGTGAATTAGGACTTAAACAGGAAACCAAAAGAGTCGCTGTCTGTTTTATGTCGAGCCCACGTTTACCTACTAAATGCTAATCACGTTTAGCAAACTGTGCTTGACGGGGAAACGGAACGATTCATCACTCCCGCAAAGAGAAAATGAAGAATAGTACTCATGTAGAATGAATATGCTCGGATAGTTTGACGCAACGATGCAATTGTCGAAATTGTAACCCGGTGGCATGCAAATGAATGTATCTCGGAAATGACTCAGTGCCGGTCTTTGACAACATTACGTAGCTCATAACTTCATCCTTGCGCAGGACCATTTGGAGTGGAAGCCGAGCGAAGAAAAAATAAAACAAAACAAACAAAAAAACACAATCTAACGTATAAACACATCTTATTTTCCCTTTGGTGCTTTGTTGCAACTGATGAATGTCTTCTTCTTTGTTGTAAAGCCAAAGGAATTCCCAACGTGAGCTCTGAAGAAAGTCTTAAATAATATACAACATAATATAACAATAAATATTGTTGGGGGCAGTGGTAAAACTGCCTTCCTTTGGTTTTGCAGTGTTCAGTTGTCTTCTTTAAAAAAAAAAAAAATCCTATTGGTGGTGGTTGGTCTGTTCAGCTAGCGAAGCATACGCGTCCAACTTGGAATCCAAACTTTTGGTTGCTGTTGCCAAAGTCTGTTGCGGACACATCCATAATGGGCAGCAGCTCAGCCGAAGGGGAGTCCATCTGCAGAATGGTACTTTCCTGACCTTTACGTACCTGAAAGAGAAATGTCGAAACGGTTATTACGTGACCTATTAAATGGTTGGGTTGGGATTTGAAAAAAAAATAAATACTCAATTAGCAAATGTTTACTTTCTGCACTGCCAATTTAAAATGAGGCCCTATTTTTGAACACAGAGAAATTTAAAAATGATTTTTTTTTTGTCCGATTAATCGACAAAATAATGAACACATGATTCAGTTAATATCAAGAATTGTTACCCTACGTAACGAGAGCAAGCTCCCTCGAAACCAGATGAATGATTTAAAAACGTCATGTGAAATGATAATCTCCACTCTGACCTGGCATCCGTCGTACACAGCGTAGATGAAGGAGCTTTTGGCCTGCGTCAACTCTTCGTCATTGCCGGCCCGGAAGCGCACAGCGTGGCGGTAGGAGTGCGACGTGCCGTCATACCACCCTGCCGAGTTCTGGCACATGTATGTGAAGCGCTGCTTGGCCGTGGCGCTCAGTAGTTTGAGGAAGGTCAGCTGGACCACTTGCACGGTGTTGCCGTCCATGTCGTTGTAGGAGAACTGGCGGGTAGGGGAACGTAATCATTAGCTGTGATCACAGACAGAGCTATTGTTCGATCTTAAGTTAGCATGTCCAATTTGTACCTTCCTGCCTCTTCTGTACTGACTGTACCAGCCTCCTGGTTTCTCTTTGCTCCACCCCGCTAATTTCACCTAAATGTCAGTTTAGGGCACAATCGTAGGCTGAGTTGCTTTGGCAGGCAAATGCGGTTTGCACTTACACAGACTCACCATTTCAATCTTCTCGTCGGGGTCCAGGCAGGTTTCTCCGCCAGCCGTGAAGTTGCAGTAGACCTTGAAGGCATCACGGTTGCACCCTTGGTTAGGATCAATCCAGTAGTCTCCTAGCAAGGACACACAGATGAGTTGGAATTGATTGGAACATCATTAAAAACTAATAAGCAGACTTCCAACTATACAACAATTGCACAATTTCTATAAAACATGAGAATACATCATAGTATTTTGGGGGGCACGGTAATCTGTGGTATGGAACATATGGCTTTCTACCTTGAAAGCTTTCGTAGACAAAGCAGACTAGCCAGGGTAATTAGGTGCTTCCTCACCATCTTTGAAATCCGGTTGAACCACCATGAGCTCCTTGCAGGTGCGTGCCGGGCTCTCGAAGGTCCCCAGGGGCCTCCTCATCAACTCCACCTCGGTTTTCATGGAGGAAAGCGTTGCAAAGACTTCTTCCATTCCATCCTCTCCTCCTAAAGGCTGATCTGCTTGCAGGTAGTCTTCCATATTGATAAGCGCCTCCTCCTCTCTCGACGAGTTTCGTCTTTTCTTCTTCCTGCCCTCCCGCATCGGCAACGGTTGCACCACCGTAGCAGGTGGTCCCTATAGGGTTTCATGCCAAAAAAATTAGCCACAAAAAAAGAACTAGTCCAAGAGGCCATGATGCTAATGAGCACATGTACTGACTGGGGGTCCTGGAAAGCCAATAGGGCCTGGATCACCTCTGGGACCAATGGCACCCTGCAGAACAGAAGAGGGAGAATATCATGTGACAATTATTTGCCACCTGCAGGCTGTCTTTAAGAGCGCTCAGCTTTATCCAGGCACATATGGCTGCTCCTTGACAAGATTATGCAGCTGTGTGCATCTGCAGTCAGTGATGAGCATTTTTTTTTTTTTTTTGCTCTCCAGACACAGTCTAGCAGGTTTCAAAAACACACACAAAATCCTATTACAAGGTAAACACAGTGGGGGGTTTATGATAATGTGTGCCCCATTTAAGCCCTTGACATCAACTTTGTTTCTTGTCCGCGGCAACACCTGTCGAGCTGCTTGAACAGAAGCCCTCTTTTTGACTCACCATGTTGCCCTTGGAACCTTTTTCTCCACCAGCACCCTATGAACAGAGGAAGAAATGTGAAAACATAATTGTTGCATTGGACTGGATAATAATTCAGTGCACATTTTGCCAAATGTACTTACTGACAGACCAGGTGGTCCTGGTGGTCCGGTGGGACCAGGTGGGCCAGTCACACCCTAAATATACATCGTACAAGAAAGTGCTTTTAGGCAACTTTATTATCATGAGTGATTGCAACACAGTATACCGTACATGGACATCGGCTCAGTTTAGACATTCTCCTAGTTTGATGTTTAGTTTGACAGTAAACTTAAGCTGGGAGTGCCATTGAAACAGCTTGAAGCTTTTTTGGAAGAACCGTTTCCTATTTACCACCTTGTTACTTATTGAGTCTAGTTGAGCTAGCTGCCACACATACAACACTCGTATGTCAAGTATGTGCTCGCAAACCAACTCGTATCTCGAAAACCTCATAAGTTGGCTCACTCGTATCTCAAGGCATCATTGAATATGCAACGTTACAACCGTTCACACCTCATCTCCTTTAGGCCCGTGTGTTCCATCAATACCAGGCAGGCCTCGGTCCCCCTTCTCACCAGGTTCTCCAGGAGGGCCTACGAGCCCAAGTAGCCCACCATGACCCTGCAGGCAGATGCATGGATCAACTTTATTCTCCGCAACATAGAGAAAGACGCACTTACTTTTTCTCCATCTATTCCAGGGTCCCCCTTCAATCCTTGAAGTCCCGGTGGTCCCTGTGAACAGTATCAGACACGGTACTTAGCCAGTTCCATTATGCAGATTCAAATTGGGGACATGGATTCAACTAGGCATGACACCATTTCCCAGAAAGCATTCTGAATTGCCTCTCAATTCATTAACTCCATTACTAGCTCAATTTAAGGCGCTCACCATTGGCCCAGGTGGTCCGGTTTGTCCCTGTGGACCAGTTAACCCTTGCTCACCCTGGAGGCCAAAGGAATAAATGCAAAATAGATTTCGAGAGATGAAACCAGACCATCAATTGTTTTCTGCCACATCCAATTGTGTACTGACCGCGGGGCCTGGGATGCCGTGAAGTCCATCTGGGCCAGACCTCCCTGAATGACCTTGCGCCCCCACAGGGCCCGTCTTACCCACTGGGCCCTGGCTACCTGTTGTTCCCTGCCAAGCAAAAGAGACAAAGAATAGACGCGTAGATGAACGCAACATATCAAAATCGATGACCACTGAGCGCAAAGCCATCAATGCTCACCTTGGCCCCTTTCATTCCTTGCTTGCCTTCAAGTCCTGCGGCACCCACGTGACCCTGAGGTTGCAAATTCAAATATGTTGATGGAAAGAAAACTTGACTTGTTTAGCACGTGTGCATGTACAAAATACACACGCGTATGAAACATTAATCTCACCCTCCGTCCCGGAGGTCCTGGAGGACCTGGCTCTCCAGAGGCTCCTGGGGCTCCCTGCAGGCGATGATAGTAATTTGATTACAAAAAGTCGGTGCGACAAAACACAGGTCCAAGTCAATGCCTCCCCCAAGCAACTCACCGCTTTGCCTGTTTCTCCGTCATCACCTTTAGGCCCAGGTCCACCATCTTGTCCCTAAATAACAAAAAATATTTATGTATAACTGATTGCAGGAATCATAGGCAACCATTCCCGCTAACATGAGGGTCTCCTGTATTTGTATGTGACTGTTGACCATTGCTAGGAGACAATTTTTATTCGAGAGGAGGCTGATGGGCAAGTGAAAAAAACGAAGCCTATTTCAAAGTGGAAACTGTGGTGTATAGTACTGCGGCATCCAGCTTTGAGGCACGGCAACATTATAAGAAAATATTTATGTTGCAATGAAGAGGTCATGATAAATTGGCCGATTAGATATCAGAGGGGGTTTACACTGATTCGCCAAGGTAGGAATCCAGTATGACCAGGTACTCCAACAGAAAGAGTACCTTATTGTACAAATTGTCAATGGAATATGTACAGTTGCTTACAGTGACACCAGTTTCTCCAGGTGGTCCCGTATCTCCTGGGAATCCAACAGGACCCTTGGGAGGCAGACCAGTCAGTAAAACAGCAATGGACATGATTGTTTTACTTCATCATATCGATGGCAATGCGGTAAATCAGAAAAACGAACAATATTGCCCTTGGGTCCATCCTCTCCCGGTGGTCCTCTAATTCCTGGAGGTCCTGCCGCACCAGATGCTCCAGAGTCGCCCTTCTCCCCTATGTCTCCTTTAACGCCCTGAAACATTCGCCAAGCGTGTCACAAAAGCTACAAGCTACAAGGGGAGAAGTAAAAATGGAGGTATGGTTCAGGAAGGGCCAGTATTGACTCACAGCGGGGCCAGACTTTCCAACTAGTCCTGGATTACCGGCCTCGCCGTCCTCACCCTAGAAGAGAAAACACGCTGGGAACATGTCAGGATTTGTGTTATTACTAAAGGGACATGCCGACCTTCTCTCCAGTCGGTCCAGGTTGACCAACTCCGCCTGGCGTTCCAGCTGTGCCCTGAAAGACAGAACATCTCCAAATAAGAACCATGGATAGCTTTAACATTTTGATTTGATGTCACACGCAAAAAAAAAAAAAAAAAAAAAGCTCCCGTTTGTTAGCAGTCCTTTTTTGCTGAAAAGAATACAACATGGAATGCCCGCGTGGTATTCCACTTGAGCACGTATCAGTCCATTTATGGATCACGGCGTTCTGCACTTGAATGTTGAATAATTGAGCAGAGTGAGAACACTGTATGCAGATGGACAGCCATTACCCGGATAAATATAACCGCCTCTCAGGGTTGACAGTCAAACAGTTGTAAATGATTCATGAAGCTTCAAATGTAACTGTCTGTGGGAATCTTTATACTGCGTGAATAATTCAAGTCTCATAGGTAGATCGGGGGCAAGGGGGGTGTGGTCAAAATGACGATACCACAAACTGTACAGATCATCATAAGTTGCATGTGGTGCGCTGAACTACAGATAACACGGAAACTCTGGCCACATTTATGTACACCCTCAAATACTGTTTTTTGTAAGTGTCAAGTATCCGTTTGATTATCAATTCAAGGCTATATGGAAAACCTGTTTTGTTCATATTTTTGGGTTCCTCAGTTGCCTTTTCCAGATGTAATTTTCTTCTGGCATCTTACAGTTAGAGGTTACGGCGCCACCTATTGGTTTGGGGTGTGCTTAACAGCCTAGCAATACATTTTTTGTTGTTGTTGCTGTGACATAAACCGAATTTGTACGCAACTCGGAACGTGTACCATTAACCACCCCGGTCGTAAACTCAGAACTACAGGAAGCGAACATGCCTTCTCGTGCCGTGTGACAACAAATTCTGCGCAAACTAGTTCCTTGCACACCACTTGGAATGTCAGTACCACCGTGACAGGGGGACTCTCTGTATTGAGGTTTTTATAAGAGAGAATTGGTCCAAATCTGCTATTGTGATGCAATAACAAAAATATGAGGGTCCCTCTACCTCAGCACCAATTAGCCCCTGGGGGCCTCGGGGTCCGTGCTGTCCTGGGGGTCCCTGCGAAGAAAGAAATCACACGTTTTCATCAGCGTCTTATTGCTGAAAATGAAACCAATGTCGCATCAATCAAACTACACGTGACCTTACTCGAAGAGCACAAAAAGTCCCCTGGATATCATAACGTTAGCGACACGATACACACATCCAGACAGGTCGTTAGCTTCCCCCGCACAGACTTTTTCTCATTTGCCCGTGCCGCCACTATCTTTCCCTTTCTTCTTCGTAATAACAAAGCTGTTATGAACAAGACCGTATTCTCTGAGCCAACATTCAGTCAGAACGTGATCGGACTGCTCAATGGCGCGCTGGAGAAGTGCCAGGCGATGAATCCCCTACTGTGTTTCCGTTGAGTAAACATAAGGAAAAGTGTGATGCCCAAACGGAAAGGAACACTCGCTTGCTGAGGACAGGATGAAACACACGCGTCCATCCAGTGAGGACATACTGGTGACACGTCCTGATCTGTAACAGTCAGACATACATGGAGGTATCGCAAGTGTCCTTGGCAGCCTCCTGCTCTGTGACTCTGCCTTTCTGTTTTGGCTCCATGTCGCCAAATAATCTGGCCGTGGAAGCCGAGTGGCCATAGAGAATCTCGCGGAGCGTGTGTTCATGGTTGGCGGCGTACCGAGATGACTGTCACAAAGGAGGATGCTCATTAGTCAGCCAAGGCTGAGGCTAATCTGATTAGCAGCTGTCACGGAGTCTTCCTTCCTTCCTCGCAGTCAGCGGCCCGCCTCTTCCTTCCACTCCATTGCTCGGCTGCTTCCTCTCTGTCGCTCCTATCTCATCTTTTTTTCCACTTTCACCAAAGCGAACCCTCCTTTCAGTCAGAGAGTGGCTTTCTGCATCTGTATTTTACACTTTTGGTCACATTTGTGACTACACATGGAACCTTGGTGTCTCGTGGAGTCCTGTTATTTCCAAATAAAGTCACATTTACTTTGATGAAGGGTAAGATGCTTTAGTAGACCCAATTTAAGTGGTTTTATTAGATTGTTGTCATGTCAACACACCCTGAATATTTTCCTGGCTACACCGGGGTGTCATTTTTGCATTGCAGTGTTATGCTGGCGTCGATGCTCACATGCAGCATTTGTTTGAATTGTGAAGATATTGCACTAGGCAGACCTTAGCTTGTTTTCTCCAGGAGAGTACCTTTCATAGTTTTTTTTTATACTGGTTTGCCTGTGCGGTGTCCCGATAGATCAGTGAAGCAAAAGCAGATGTGCTCTTCAGCCTGCCATCTTGCATCAACGATACACAGGTTAATCTACCCGGGGTAATGCATGATGCAAGGGCACATCCTGTCATTTGTCATTCAAGAAAAGCGGAAATGCATTCATTGTCATAAATATTTCGTCTTACATCAGAATCTTTTTGTATATCATTTTAAACCACTGAATAGACAGAAGAAAAGATGGATAACGTGCCTCCGTTTTTTTGGTTGTGGATAATAAAATAAAAGTAGACATCGCCTTGAACAAAAAATAGATTAAAAAAAAAAAAGACGCTGGACAATCAAATTCAAACATTCATGTTGATCAGATCATCACAGATGCAGATTACTGTGCACGGTAATCTGCTCCAAACAGAGCTCGGTTGCCATACACAGGGACATCACCTCATCAAGATAAAAAAAAAAAAAAAAAAAACAAGACCCGGAGAAAGACAGTGCCTTCAAATATTTCAAATGAAAAGATGACATTGGGGTCGACATAAAGAAAAGCTGAGGGGGTTTTGTTGAAGCTTTGATTTGTGCCATATCTAGTCTAACACCGGCCCGTAATAAAGATGCAGAGCCAAACTAAACAGTTTATCGATTCTTCTATCCCATCCCAAAAATATTTTATCCGTTACTTGTACTCACCAGAGTGCCCACATGCCCACTTTCCCCCTTCTCTCCCGCCAGTCCTGGCATTCCCTGCACAGAAAGACCGGGATCTAGATATGAATTCATGATTGGGTCTTTAGTACGGAATTCCGTTGCCCTTCTTACCTGTAGGCCCGTGGGACCCGTTGCTCCCTTAAAGCCTCTCAGTCCTTCATCTCCTTTGGCTCCATTCATTCCCTGCTGCCCACGAGGCCCCGGCTCACCATCTGCCCCCTGAAACACGCAAAGCCGGATCAACGCTGCGAGGATCCACCGCGGACGCATATTCTTGCGATATATTGTGCGCTATGGTGCCCTACAGTCATTCCTGGCTGGCCCACGGGTCCTTGAATGCCAATAGGTCCTGGGGGTCCCTAAAAAGCAGACTGACTGTTAAATACTTTAACTGAAGACATGATTAAAAGCCATCTGCTCATTATACCGGCGGGGTGCATTGTACAGACAAACTGTTATCATAATGAATTAGCCCAAACCAATTATGAGCCAGGATGTCTTCTGCCTCCCGCTGACGCAAGGCTCTTGCATAATATTGGAATTATTGAAATGGGATTCACACTCACTGCTTCTCCTTTGTCTCCCTTGCTTCCCTTCTGGCCGGGTCCTCCTGTCTCACCCTACGGTGACAGATGCAGTACAGGATCTTCATTGTCATCAAGAAGGCTAGTGGAGTAGTTAGTTTCTTATCCCTGGAGCTATTCAACATTTGGATTTTTGGCATAGGGCTAATTTTGAACTCCGTGTAACTGTTGAATCTTTGAGGATACCACCCAAGTGTTGAGTCATGGCACCCGCCAAAGTACAACCTTGTATCTGTTGGTGTTGTGTCGATTACCTTGTCTCCGTCCTCTCCTGGAGGCCCATGTGGTCCCACAGGTCCTGGAAGTCCAACGGGTCCTTGTTCCCCATCGTGCCCAGCTGGCCCGGTGGTTCCTTTCTCTCCCTTGGGACAAAGAGAGCGCATATCATCGTTGGTTATCCTCACACATCGGATCAGAATGGTAGTGTAAACTCAATTCGGGATGTTTGGCGTCTTACTGGTTCGCCTTTCTCTCCCATCGGCCCAGCGGGGCCCACACTGCCTTGCCGTCCTGGCAGCCCAATACCACCCGCTGACCCTGCGGGACCCCGCTCTCCGGTGGCACCCTGGGGGAGGTCACAAGAGGTGGAGAAATGATGTCATTCAGAGTGGATGTTACGCTTGTTCTTCCAATGTACCAAGGTGTTAAATTGGAGAAGCTGTAAGGAAACGGAATGAAGTGAACTAGCCCAAAATCTGACTCACAATTAGTCCCGCAATTCCAGGTACACCCTCTCCTCCTTTTAAGCCTGCAGGACCCTGGGGGGAAGATGCAAATAAACTTCACAATCGAGCTCTTTTAATTTCAGCATTGTGACATCAAGCCAAATGCTGCAAAGTTCAGCAGAATGTTTGCACTACCGCTGCACCAGGGAGGCCTCTGCTTCCCCGAAATCCCTGGATCCCTAAAGGGCCACTCTTTCCTGGTGCTCCCGGTGGGCCCAGGTCCCCCTGGAAAGCACATTAACGCAAAACAGAACTCAAATGAGTGGACAGTGGAAAGCAGCCACTTGCGGAGTCATCACATCAACTGGAGAATCATACAAAGAAAATAATACTAATCTTTTTTGTGAGCTTTCTTTCCGTTACTACTTAGAAAATTCAAAGCTAGTATGCTAAAAGTTGATAAGATAATGTTTCAAAAGTATTGACCACGTCCTTGGACTGAAAATGAAAGGACAGGACCGCAAAGTAATGATGTTCCTGACAACACGATGAAAACTACTCACCTTGGCTCCCTCCTTTCCGGCCGATCCAGGTAATCCTTGCTCGCCCGGTGGGCCTGGTGGGCCCGGATGGCCCCTGTCACCATTTGGCCCCGTTTCACCAGTCTTGCCCTGAAGGGGCCATTCAGACGATTTCATTACTGATTTGAAAGGGCGAGGGGAAGAGCGGCATTAATGGGTAAATCCTCTCACCTGTGGTCCGACAACACCCGGGGGACCAGGGCGACCATTTTTGCCTTGGAATCCCTGATAGGAAAGAATATTTAGAGTGTCATGACTTTTGCTTCACCCGCTGTGTTATGGTGACTATATATGACTCTATGGCTCTTTGGCAATTTCTTGTTGGGGTCTGAGGGCAACAGTATAAAGCATTAATACAATGTGGATGTAATGGAATAGAAAATGACTTACTGGTTCCCCTCTCTGGCCAGGATGACCTGGAACTCCATCTTTTCCAGGGGGACCCTAAACAAATAGTATCTTGTGTTAACCGTAAAAAACAAACAAAAACAAAACTTAATACTAAATTTATTCTAAAATGGTAACATAAAAGAAGGATAACTTCACTGAAATGTCCACTCACACTTGGTCCTTTTGGTCCTGTTGCACCATGCATTCCTTGTGGGCCTTGGGGACCCTAAGAAATAAAATCAAGCGTAAATAAAATTTAGAAAGCAATTCCAGCCAATCATTGTGTTTTCTGGAGGCTGTGCAACTCCAGTTTGACACATGAGTATACAGCCAAGCCACTGCCCATGTGTCAAGAAGTTACCTGTTCTCCAGGGGATCCTTGAGGACCATCTTGTCCGGACGAACCCTAATGACCAAAAACTTGCTCAAACTTTCTGTATTTTTGCTCATTTTTCAGTTGATAATTACAGTATGTAAACGTGAAGCTATATTTTTGACAAAGTGAGTTTAGGGAATGTTTGTCTTTGTTTCGTTTTGTTTTTCTTGAGCCCCCGTCACCTTTTCTCCAGGCTTCCCCGTGGGACCTCTTGCTCCTCTTTCTCCTCGGGCTCCCTGTCGGCAAAAACAAAAGGCTAATAAGCAAGTGAATAATTTATATCACGGTGGCAAAATGCGGAATATGGAAGTAAATGCCTCCACCCTACTATCATAAGCTAATCTTGGTAATTTTGAATTAGGTCATCATAGTGCATAAAGGCTCGATAAACATATCTGTACTCACGTTAGGACCTCTTTCACCTCCAGATCCAGGTTGGCCAGCTGGACCCTAAATTCAGAAGTTAGTGTTTTTTTTTAAATTGTGCCTACATAGTCATATTCAAAGCTATAGGATGTGGATTTCAATGAATGGAAGTCCCCTCACCCTTCGTCCTTTCTCTCCTGGGGATCCTCCTGCCCCGAGAAAGCCAATGGATCCCTAGGGAGGCGCGTGGTGGTTAAACAGTCCAGTGTCTCATTAGTGCATAATTAACAAATGTATCAAATTAGAGCTAATCGAATACAAAACGCAACGTTAAATACTCTCATTCATCAGCATGTGATGAATACGCGGGCCTGAAGACCCATTAATAGAATAGCCAATTTGAAGAAGTCGTTTATCATCATTTTGTGTGAAACCAAACAAAGAAAGGTACGAACGGGGATAACACTGAGCCTCATCAGGAAGCGATTACCTTTGACCCTTGACGTCCTGGGTATCCAGGCAGTCCTGGCACTCCGAGGTGACCCTATGAAAAAAATAAACAAGATGATCTTAGATTAAAAATATAAAGTCAGTGATTATATTTTTTTGCTTTAAGCGTTACAACACTGCCACATAGATACTATTCGTTAGCCCATATGTCGCAGGTAGCATATTTTGTTAGCATGAAGCTAAGGAGACTCTCTTTGTTTTATGTGTAACTACAACAAGGAGCGGCATTAAGCCGCCTGAAGCCTCTTTTGTGAAGAATTGTTCATTATCATCCAAACTGCTGCTTGTTGTGAAACGAGTTGAGCTCATATACCTTCTCTCCAGCGGTCCCAGGAGGTCCTAAATCCCCCATGGCTCCGTGTTGGCCCTTTAGGCCTTCCGTTCCGTCCTCTCCACGAGGACCTGGAGGCCCACTGTCTCCCTAAATGGTCAAAAAAAAAAGAAAAGTAAACGTTTGTTTTGCAGACGCGTATAAAAGAAGTTGGAGGAGTTGTAAGGATGCTCTTACACTGTCTCCCTTGAGGCCCATGTCACCTTTGAAGCCAGGGAAGCCATCCTCTCCCTAATAAGGGCACAAGTTAGATCTTGACTGATAACTGCGTCACTGTATTGTCGTCATACATCTGAAGGATATCGGCGAACTCGTTTAAAGCAAGCAGACCAAAGTGTAACTTACCTTCTCTCCTTTGCCACCCTTTAGGCCTCTGATGCCATCTGCTCCCTGAAAAAAAAATATATTTTTAAAAATCATAATTGTCACAAACCTGCACAAGCAATCTTAATCTTCCATCCAACTAATTGAAAGCATTGCTTTGGGTTTTTTTTTGGGGGTTTTTTCCCCCAAAAGCCAAATTCACCGGCTTTCCATTAGGTGCTTCACTGATTATTTTTAAAAGCTTTTTTTAAGCTAAATTTCATTGGTATTTGGTCAATTTTTGAGTCGGGTTTGGCAACTAATAGGTACCACTGTACAGTATTCCTCGTGCATTAACCTGATTTGATTGCCATTTTGGCATTGCCTCCAACTATCACCTGTCACTCAAATACAAAGTGTTTATATGTGTGACAAATGACTTGGCATCTATTGGGGGTGGTAAAATAAATAGCACAGTCATTATTGCATCCATTATCTCACCTTGACGCCGCGGGTCCCCGGGTACCCGATCGGCCCCTGGGCTCCTGGCATTCCCTGTATATGACATATCATATTTACAGCAGCGATCAGCATTTTAATGTGCGGAGCATCGCATTTAGCTATTGCATCCTATCCTGCAGGTTACAAAGAGAATGACATTTCCAAGTTGTAAATAAGGGGAAGACACGGAGTTTGTTATTCCTGGGCAGAGACGAGTGTAGAACAAGCTTGTGATGCGCTGTTACCCACTTGGGTGCCTTTCTCTCCTTGGGGTCCTTCTCTTCCTGGGTGACCCTGCAGGAAGAGAACGGGATATCAGCTAGAGTTGGCGCCATTGTAAATACGCTGTCATTGCGCTGTGCTTAATGGACCCCCCCCCGGACTGCAACGAGGCAATTGGAAAAGAGGAAAAGTCAGTGAGAGTGAAGCCCCCATTAAAATGCAATTGCTTCAAAAAAAAGCTTTGCAGGGTAATTAAAAGGAGCATCAAGTGAAAGGCATGATAATGTGTCTCACTGCCATTTCGAATGGCAAATGGGAGACCTTTTTTTTTTTCTTCCAATGCTTTGAAATCATTGATTTGGAACACAATTCTGTTAATTTCTTTGCATTTAAAAACAGTTTTCACCATATGGAATGTCGGTAATTGTACTGTACAGGCAAATATAATTTTTAAAGCACCTCGCAAGTGAAAATAAAAGTCTTCCAAATTTAACACACCACGGAGAAAAGTGTTGGGACCAACTCTGCCAAATATGAATGATTTGAAAATGTGTCTAATATATAATATGAGGCTGAAACATTTTCTCAGCTCCTCAAATTTGAATTAAGTACCACTGCTTGAAAAATGGAGGCTACTCAGTTTAGCTTCTTTCTTAGCTCCACGTTAGAGCCGCAAAAATATAATCGCCCCCTTTGCACTGGGGGTCGGGGGTTATTTTGTTGTTTCCTTGAAATCCTTTTTTGTTGGTTTAGAATAGTTTTCATTTTTGATCATATGTTTTTCAATGACACATTTTGCATCTCCGCGCTTATTTTGTCCATATCCCAAACTGCAATTTGTCGTGCTCCCATGTGGCTCCCCCAGTAGCACTGATCAATAATTGTGGCATGTGCCTACTTGACACATTTTATCTTGACTCCCTTTCATTGTATTGAACAGTGTCGCCGTTCATCAATGCACAATAGTTACATCCATGGATGCAGTGTATCTTTGTGCGTACTTACAGGTTGTCCATCAATGCCTGGTAGTCCTTGCATGCCTTGTTTCCCCTGCGGACCCTGTATTGGACAGAATAGCATCATACGTGCAATGAATCAGTCAAACACACAAATATTAACAGTGACTCGGTCCCGGTCTTGTGCTTTTATCAGTCCAGCCTCTAGACGCACAAAGGCCGAGGCCGTCCTTAACGTCGGCACGCCTGCGTATTTTTTTTTTTTTTTCTTTGGCATTGATTTCCTGTCTGTGTCAATCCTGTCACACACGGAGCCAGCGCTAGTTGAGTTGTTCTGTTCCCCTCCCCGCGGGCGAGTGCGGTGACGGCTCACAAGGTCACACTGGTTTGATTCTGGGAATAAGTGAGAGAAAAAGCAACCCACCTTCTCTCCCGGCAACCCGATGGGACCCTGGGGGCCGGGCAATCCCTGCGCCAGAGCAAAGCATCAGTTAGGTGAAATGTTGCAAGATGGGGGAGATGAGCTGAGATATTTGTGCGTGTACGTGAGTCCTGAATATTAAGTAGACGGCGTATTGAAATGGAAAACATGTCAAATCCGAACTTGAAGTGGTTTTAGCTACACGTTGGTTTTATAATTGTTGCACTGGTCAATTATAGTTCTTAATATTAAAACCTGATGTGCTGTAGCAAAAACAAAAAAAAAAGACTGCAGATTCAGAATCAGCGCAAAAAAAAAATCTCGAACATTTTACATGCATCTCTGGTTTAAATGATTTTTTTTTGTGTAAAACTTTGGTGACCTATACATTATTTAAAATTTATTTATTTATTTATTTATTTATTTATTTTACTGGAAAATTACAGATGAGACCGACAACAGATTTTGTATTATAGTTGTAAAGGAGTGAAGAAGGCTTATCAAAATAATTTGAATAAAAAACAGTGGGGAAAATGAAGATATGAAAAGGGCATCCACAGGAGACAACTTCTTTATGGCAAGTGTTGAGTACGTGAACAACGGGATGTTTGGTTTTATTCAAATTTTCAAATACTCAAAAGACACGTCTGGATTTTTGGTAATTCTCAGTACCTGTAGTCCAGGATTTCCTTGTTGTCCCGCAGGTCCTATTTCTCCGTGTGGACCCTGTAAACAAGCATCAAAATTGATTTTAGAAACATCATCCGTTATAAAGGTAAAAGGAAACAATCTGGGAAAAAAATGACTTTTTAGGATCATTTCGACTCAATATAACAGCCTGACCTGGTTTCCCTTTGACCCCTGGGGCCCGTCTGTTCCTTGGACACCCTAAATACAGAAATCATTGATATATTAAAAAACAAAAAATTGTATACTGCTTTCCAAATGGAAGCGATTATGACTTACCTGTTGGCCAGGTGGTCCCGGTGGCCCTCTCGGCCCAACAAGACCCCGCGCACCCTGGTTGCACAACATCAATTTATTTGCGGATATTATGACAGGATGCGAGGAACACTGCTCTGAAAATCTGAAGCCACTCAAATGTAAAAAGAGATAACGTCACATTTATTTCATCTTGTATTTGCACATGGATATTTGTGTGCTTTTTTTTTTCTTTTTTTTTTTTCAACCAACCCTCTTCCACCTTGCTGCAAACTCTTTGTAGGCTGGCCAAGCCACCTGTTCCAAAGCCACATCTGTGATCCCCCGAGACGTGATTGATATGGAAATATAATCATTGCGGCCATGATTTTTATCTCTTCGCTCTGCCTCTACCTCTTTCCCCAGCAAACCCAATTTCTGCCTGCCATTTGTCTCTTGTCATTTTTTTCCCCCCTATCCTTTCCATTCTCGCTCGTGAAAACAGACCGTGCAGTTTTAACACAGATCTGCGAGCATCTCTTATGGCGCTTTATTTCCTCGCCGCGTAGAGTGATGCATTTGGAGGGACAGCCGCCCGCTGAGCCCAAAGCTCCTACTGGGAGAAAGATGGAGTGCAAGTCAATCAGCCACTCTGTTTGCTGCAGAGATGCGCAAGAGAGATGACACGGTCACCACTGGCGCTCCCTAACATCTTGGGCTGCCTCGTTTTTTTTGGGGGAGTGGGGGTGAGCAAAGATCATCTGCACTGATTATATTTTATACGTTTTTACCAAAGCTGCCTGTCGTTTTCACCAAAATTACACTGTATGAAAATCTACAAAACACCTTTTATTCCATTTTTCTCCCGGAGGGAGGGAGAGAAGGGGGAGAGAGGGGGAGAGAGAGAGAGAGAGCGAGAGAGAGAGAGAATAAAAAAATATACAAAAATAAGAAATATCAATTAAAATTTAAAAATAATACTAAAATAAAGACAATATAAATTAAACAAAAATAAAGACAATATAAATAAAAAGTAAACAAATGCATATAAAAATACAAAGACAAAAAAATAATAAATATAAATATTTGTTTATATTCATTTCGGTGACAGGGGTGCGCTTCGTACAAAGAGTGTCGGAAATGTATGAGAATCAACTGCAAATTGCAAGTCAGACTATCATTAAGAGGGAAGGTAAATATTTCATTTCTAACCTTCCGAATTGGGAAAAAATATTTCTCTTATTCAGTTGCAAGTCCGTTGTTCATTAAACAAACTTGATTGACATACTGCTCACAAGCTTGTGGCACGTGACATATTTCTATCAGTGTCAAATAATAACAAAATGTAATCAAATGCACTGCAAGTAGTAGTAGTGGCGTTAATTAAAACCATGCATGTACGAAAGACAGGAATGCGTCGTTTGCGCTTTACTCACAGGTTCACCAGGTTGCCCTCTCGGGCCAACAGGTCCAACTGGCCCCTAGCAAATACAAAGATAGCGACATGTTTTCAGCGTGGATCTAATCCTGATCACAAACATGGAGACCTGTCTCATTCGCGCTACAAGCATCTCGATCAATTAATACCATGCATCCTGAGACGGAAGTACTGTTTTTTTTCGCATAAACTTGTACCTTTTTTCTTTGTGTTGGATTTAGGAATACTGTAACTGAAATTCAGAGCGAGCTGCTTGTGGTGTGTGGTGCTGTAGGATTTACACACTGTGTCTTATTGATCGATGTTATCCCACTGTTCAGTTTCTTTTAACATTGTGAGATGAAAAACAGAAAAAAAAAAAAGCTGCGTTATGCATTTTGTCGATTGGGGAGAAATAGTCTTCTCTCACCTTTTCTCCCGGCTCTCCGGCAGGCCCCTGAGGACCAGGCTTTCCTCTGTCCCCCTATGAAGACACAAAATTGTCAAAGCTGCAGGAAATTTAAAAAAAACGGTTCTCTCCATGGGAACGATGCTTTGAACAGATGCTACCCCCGTGTAAGCTGCTATGCCACATTTTACAAGTGAGGGAAACAATACGTCAAGCAAATATAAATTTTGCCATGCAATAAGGGGCAATGTGTGCACATCACGTAAAAGGTTAAAAACTCACTTTGTGTCCCTGGTTTCCTGGGAGTCCTGGTAGGCCATCGAAACCTCGATCACCCTGTGAGGTCATAGCGCAAGTTCACATCACAGGGCCAGCTAGCTGGCCCACAATAACGTCATCAGTTTTCCACTTGATTGGCCAGAGCAAGTCAAGTTAGATGAGCAAAACACGCAAACATGAACACATTGAGCATTCTGCCTCTCTACTGAGTATTTGTACATATTTTAAATTGTTTCCTTCTTATTAGATATCAATTCATAACTGATCTAGATATATCTGCTGATGTATTGCGTTTTTGTGTATTTTTTTTGTCTGGAATTGATTGTTTTTAATTATTTTATTTTTTTGTTACAACATGATAGTGGCTACTTAAAAACTGCAAGTAGATGATGAAAACAATTTGGAATTATTTACTTTTGAATTTCCATTATTTATTGCAATACCAGTTTCTCTTGTGCTTAGCCAAGCCTCTAAAATAATTGCTGCCACGAATATTCCTTGCAGCCCAATTTAGCAAGTCTCTCACCACTGCAATGCAGCACCGTGATGTCTTACCTTCACACCAGTTTCACCTGGAGCTCCACGTCCTCCATCTGTTCCAGCGTACCCCTAAATGAAGCATGATCCAGTTATTTAAAAAGAAAAAAACAAAAAAACAAAAATCAACTGATATCGTATCACATGATGTCATATAGAGATTTCCATCCCATATCTTACCCTTTTTCCTGGTTTTCCGTTGCTTCCTTGAAGTCCTGGCAATCCTTGCGGTCCCTGTTATGGACAAGATAAATGTTCAAATGAAGGCGTGGAAGCAGGCGAGGGAGCTCGATGAAAGGAAATCAATCCAGCGACAATGAAAGCGAGTGGCAGATGGAAGCTTGCGGTGAGATAAACATGTTCTGCTCATTACCGGAGGGCCCGGGTCGCCAACGTTTCCTTTGTGGCCAGCTGGTCCTGGAGCACCCTGTCAAATAGATAAGGAGCAAGTTATTGACACATGAAGCAATATCACATTGAACATTAGTCCTTTATGAAGCTTGTACAGTACTCTGTCAGAGCAAATTTGGCTTACCAGAGGGCCTGGTCGCCCTGTAAGACCCCTCGGACCTGGAGGTCCATTCATAGACAGCTATAAGGAAGACCCAATTGCATGATAAATGTCTTGAGATCCAGATCAATTTCTCAAATGGCATGAGGATCAATACGCAAGATGAAGAGATATACCTGAGCCTGTTGAATAATAGCTTGCGCTTGGGCCTCCTGGGGGGACACCGCCGGCCCCTTTTGGGAATCAAATCTATACTGGAACTGAGGGCAAGAGTAAAAGTCAGGAGGAGTCCCCTCGGGTGGATGAAGCTCAGTCAACCAGCCCCCCCTTGTGGTCAATAGTGGTGAAGGAGAATCTGTTTTGGTAGTCTTACAGGTAGCATCAGCATGGTTCCTTGTAGTCCTGGAATTCCGTCAACCCCAGGAAGGCCGGGACGTCCTGCAGGACCCTGAAAGTAAATGACAAGCAGACACACATATGAGGAAACAGAAATAATTCATTTATTTATGATAACCATCAATCCCGTCGTCTCATTGAAAGTCTGCAAATATTAGCAGTACCTCGTTGTGCGCTGTCAGCGTTTTAAATGAACAAGCGCACAAACCTAGCAATAAAATGGAGGTCAAGCGTGTCAACATCCTTCAGTCCAGCCAGTTGAACTATGTGAGCTGGGCCATTGTAATCCCATGGGTGGGTGTTTTTTTTTTTTTTTTTTTTTTTTTTGGTCTGTGCTCAAATATGAGCCAAACATGATAGCGCTCCACTCACCATTTTCCCAGGGTCTCCTCTGGGTCCTGGGGGGCCAATTGGTCCAACTGGACCAGGAAGTCCCTGTGAGGGATAATACGATATTGTCACTTTGATTTACGTGCATACAGTAGTGACTTCTTCTTAATGATTACGCCTCACCCCGATTAATCACCGGGTGTGTCTATTTACATTTATAAACACGGCACCTCAAATAGACTGGTGGTCGTGGTGTTCCTCGTTGATAGTCCCTATTGAATTGAATCTTTGTAGCCTATTGTCTTTTCTTGAAAAATAGCTGAATGAACACAGAACCGTACTCCCAACTCACCTCCGGTCCTGGCAGGCCTGCCGGTCCTTCCACTAGCGCCCCCTACAAACCAAATCATCCAAATATCAAGTCATTTGCATGCTTTCATATAGCCGAAGCCGCGATGCGACGCCTGCAGCAGCTCACCGGCTCGAATACCCCAGGTTCGCCCTTCTCTCCTTTCTCAGTCGGTAGTCTTCCCTGTGGAACGGAAGCATCCAAGTACAAAATCGTTTGACCACTGTGGGGGGGAAACCTGACCAACTGGCTTCAAATGCCTGACTGGAGGTTTACCGTTCCTTGCCATGTCTCGGCTCCTTCTCGCAGTGCAAAATCGTAGCCTTCGTCGTAGATTTCATACTCCTCATACTCAGACTTGGTGTCATTGTAGTCGTCATGTTCGAGGACCTGTTTTCAAATGCGATTACTGACATCTATGGTGAATGGAACATATTTGCATGTGCGTTCCACCCACCTCAGAGTGTGTAATATTCGTGCCCGCTCTTACGATGGTAACGGCAAGGTCGTCAACGAGGTTGCCGTAAAGGTCATCGCCGTTGTCCAACTCTGGGCTCTTCGCCGGCTCCGGCTCCTGCGCGTTAATTGCGAGATGAAACGTTAGCGCCACAGCTGGACAATAGGCCGCGGGAATGTGTTGGTCATCCTCGATGCAGGTAGTACGGTCAATTAGAAATCTGAGGATGTCTCCGGTTCACGGCTGCGAGGCAGAAACAGCAGTGCAAAATGAGTATGCGGCACAATTAGGCAAGTCGTGACATATTTCTAAGAAAGATGCTATGCTAATTAAGCAGAGCATAGTAGACACATATTGTACTGTACATCCAAGGGATGGGCATTAGACTGCATATTCTTTAGCAATTAAGGGATTATTTTATATTTATGGGCTGAAAGGGTCATTCATAAAAATATTTACTACGCTTATGACTTTTATGTGAACTCCATTTTTCTTTGACTTGAATTCCAGTGAATCAACTAAACCCTCCAATTAAAGGTTTATAATTGCCTATAAAGGCCACAAGGTGGAGGCAAAGCACCACTTTTTTTCTGAGCGAGTGCTTTGGCAAGTCAAATAAGAGGCCACTTCCTCGGGACTGACATGCCACAAGATGACGCCAAAGCAATCATGTTGATCTAGACCGTGCTTTGGCACCATCTTGTGGCAGCGTAGGGCCTTTCAGAAAGAGTAAGCAAATAAGCGAGTTTTTCAGTAAAGATAAATATCTACAAATAGATGGCGGAACATTCATTATTATGCCCATCCCTTGTACATACCATGCAGATCACTCTGGTTGAAGCAATTTATGCATAGCCTTGCATGTTCGAAACACATAGTCAGAAAGCCTACTGAAGACTCGAGGCGCATTCTCTGTTTTTGGTGTCATAAAGTTGCATTCGGGGGTGCTGATGGTGCTGGCTGGTTAGTGGCGAGCAGCTGGAGAAATGCGAGATTAGCAAAGGGGGAGTGATTGGTTATAGTGGCCGAAAACAGGGGAGCTGTTAACTGGTCTACCTCAATGTGAACTTCGGCTATGCTGCCTGGCGAAGGGGCTTCTGTTGATGGTTCATACGAAGGCGTCTCCACAAGGGGCACGTCCTCGTAGGTTTTAGTGGGACCGACTGTTTCTTCAGCGCGTTTTATGTCCAAAAAAGGCTCTTGGGAGAGATACTCGGGCGGCATCGTAGACACGCTAATGAAGCCGTCGTCCAAAGTTTCCTCGAGTTTTTTCTTCCGAGATCCCTTCTTCTTGCCCTTCCCCTTGCCTTTGCCCTTCCCCCTGCCTTTACGTTTGCCTTTACCTTTCGAGCCCTTGTCCCTCTTCTTTTTGTTCTTTTTGCCCTTCCTGCCCTCTTTGGCTTGCTGTTCTTCCGTCTGGTCCAGTTGGGACTTCTTGTCATGGAAAAAGGGCATTGTGAGGAAAAGTCGGATGACAGAGAAAGAAAAACACAATGTAGCAAATCACATTAGAATGCCAGTGTACTGTATCTCTGGCCTGTGTTCCGCGCACACGCTTAGAATCTCTCTATACAAACAGCAATCATTTTTTTTCTCGTAAAAACATTGGGGATGTGATTTAGATCTAAACCGGGTCAGCATGTGCAATGGGATGTTAGCCAGAGGGGAATGTTTTGGCATTCTGAGCTCATCCCAGAGCTGAAATAGTTTTATAAAAGCCAACTGGATGACTCTCAGCGAGACGTTCAATTTCTGGATCGCTTTCATTGACCAGATTTTGTGCAGACACACGTGCACGTACGCAGCGTGAGCATCCGTGAGAAGTGTGTCACGAGCTTGACTTGGCTGATTTCATGCCCGTCTCGCTCAAAATTGGTTTGCCTCATCTCAGCTGTTATTCCCAAAACAAAGCACCACTTGCTTGAAAGGAAATGCTTTCCCGCTGGCTTTTCCAAGGAAGTCATCAATCATGAAAGTCACCAGTATGCACTTCACTGGAAGTTTTGTGTGGTTGTCATTTTATTGCCCAAATGGTTGAAAACTGTCCATGTGGGTCAACTTGTTTCGATGCGACCCTTCTTTACACTTGTCCTCAACTCGATCGCTTATTAAAAATTAGTTAAAATTGTCATATTGTATATCTCGAGTTTTCAATTGGGATGTCTTCCCAATACCATGCAGTACTGACCCCCTGAAGGTCCAGGGCTTGGCTGCTCTGATGCAAAGCGGAGTCACAGTCTACCATGTAGTTGATACAGTAAGCAGCAGCGGCCTGGGGGTCATCATCAATCAGTAGTTGTTGAATTTCTCCCTGTAACGAAGGCAAGAAAACACCACAAATGTGATGCACAAAGTAATATGGTGTCCGACTGGCTCTTGCCGGATCATGCAGCCGTTCCGAAATCAAGTGTCCAAGTTGAGGTCTATAGGGGTAGAGCTCAGGTATCGGCAGACTTAAGTCATAGACTTTTGGACTTATGAAAACGTATTTGTCTGCAGCTTTAAGATTTACTTGTGTGACTTACTCCCACCTCTGATACTGTATATACTTTCCTGGACATGTCGGCAGCCATTTGCAATGAACTAAATCCGATTTACCTGCATGATGTTTTGGTGGTTTTTAGCTCCATTGTAGTCTCTTTAATTAGGCTTTAGCAGCCAGGGGTATCACCTTACAATGCTCCCAAGAGGCCTTGTCAGCATTGTGTGCTCCCCCCCCAAAAAAACTTTCTGAAGCATTTTGAGAAATGACTGTTGAAGCACTAATTTGCGCATTAGTACAGTGAGCATGAAGGTTATCCAAATAGTGTCTTTTCTTTCAGTTTTTGGCCAGAGGCCCACGGAGCAAGGGCACTTCATTTGCCCTCTTCGACCGACTGCAGTCATAGTGAGTGGGGTTGGCCGGGGGTGTGGGGGGAGATAGGCAACAGGGAGTAAATCCACTCTAATCCAATCTCAATTAGAGATCAAAAGCAAAACTCTCACAGAGTTTTCCTCTTATTCTTTCCCGGCGGGGTTTCTCTCCCCTGCTAAAGTGTTGGCCCCGAAAATCATGCACACTTCATCGTTCCCCAATTAAGATCTGGCAGCAACGTCAGAGGCGAATGCACTCTCATTGCTCTCCTCCGGAAAGTAGAAACTACATTAAAACGACTTCAACTATTGTCATACTATTGACTGGAGTTTATCTGAGGTGAAAGCCATCATTTGCGGATCACGCATTCAAAATGATGAAGCAATCTTTTGACGCTCCTGAGTCCTCGGTCGATTCAAGTGAATTGCTGTTCACCATCCGTTACTGAGTGCGAATGTAAAATGAACAGCACACACATCGTAATAGCTGCTGACTTTCATTCACAATAATAAATAGTCTTACTGTGTATATTTATTCAATTTTTCAATGAGCCGCAAGTTCCTTGAGCATTGCGAACCGATAGTTGACTTGCCACGCCTGATGTTAATTTTTTGGCAGTGACTACAATACCTTTGCTTGAACATGCTAATGCGAATGCCATGGTGCTAACCCAGGCATGGTCCTAAGATTTTTTTTTTTCCCGTTTAAAGAGGGACTTGACAGATACGTTTTGGGTGACTGAAAAAATATTCATAAATTTAATTAATTTTTTTTTTTTTGAAATGTTGGAGGGGTTCAATTGGGCTACACAGGTTTCTGGCAGGGCTATAGCACCCGCTAGCCCCAGTGTAGCGCAATCCCTGTGCTAACTCATGCTAACTTAGCGCTACAAAGTTATTTTTACTGTGTTTGTTTTATTTATTTATTGCATTGGGGCAGTGCACATTAATCAGCACAAGAATAAACAGTGTCAATGTGCCGGATGTAGCATAAATGCTCGTTTTCAGCCTTGGTCCCAAGGCAGGTTTCTAAAATAGTGTCTCACACATTTGGGTTAAATGATCATTATTATGGGCTATCAAAGGTATGACTTATTTGATTTGTTAATCGGGCAGATGGGCAAGGTAATTGTTGATTTAAAAAAGGTCAATTGCGTGGATGTAAAATGGATTAGATTAAAAATAGAATAATTCATGCTCATTTAAAAATATGAGCAATGATTAATTGAACTATTATTGTCCACCCCCAGGTCAGCTTTTGGCTTTTTTTTTTTGTTGCTTTTTTAAAATCATGGGTTAGCATGAGCACGTCAGCCATAAACTGCATCATTCAATGTGACTTGAAATGCTACTTGCATGCGCTTTTAAACAGACCTTGACCTATTAAGTCTGCCTCACTGTGCTAAATCAACAGCTCAGCATCCAAGCACAACTGCCCGGACTGTACGTGTGTGCCAGAAACATGTTCAATTTCCAGTCCAAGTCGAGGCAGAGGAGATCAGATTTTCCCAACAAATAAACACTTGGTTTTATCTAAACAGTCTGTGTGTTAAGAGTCACATAAACAAGGCCCACGGCAAGCCATGAATAAGATCAAGTGGACGTGTAGACATTTTAATGTTTGCAAATCGCTGCGTTTGCCAAAATGACTTTGCAGGGGGTGGCGGGGGGGAATCTGGAAGTAATAGACATTTGTGGCTCAGCAAAAGTCCCCCCTTGGTCTCACGCCGCACAGCTCCCACGCTGGGAGAACTGGGCCGGAACACTGGCCTCCTCCCACAGAACTGGGGCCTGGGAACAGTGGTCCAAGGGTCAGCCCTCTTAATCTGCCGTCCCCTGGTACCAGCCTTGCTCGCGCTAATGACACTAATGCCTTAATGTACACAAACAGACATGTATACTAATGAAGTCATGGATTTTTTTTTCACGTGGAGAAATGCACCAAAGTGGAAGAAATCGCGACACTAGGGCGGTACTGTTTTGATGGGTTAAACAAAAACTCCCAAACGGATTTTCACAAGACATGGCGGATGGTTGAAGCATGTGCAAAACATTAAATCATAACATTTTGGTGAGCATCCAAATAAAAGTGTGGATGCAATCATTTATTTTCACTTTTTGGCTTTAAAGTCCACTTACATTGGGGCCAACTAGGGCATTATCCAGATGGAGCTGCACCTGCAGGACTGGAGTGGAGCTGATCTTGATTTTTGACTCGAGCAAGTCAAACGGAAGTGATAAATATTATTTGACCCTGGCGATTGTTTGTCTTCTGCGGGTTGCTATTGTAGTTATAATCGAATCACCATTTCTTGGTTGTCTTACTGTGTTGAGCAAAAAAACGACTTCACTGATTTCTACAGAACTCATACACTTTGACCCTGGCGATTGTTTGTCTTCTGCGGGTTGCTATTGTAGTTATAGTCAAATCACCATTTCTTGGTTGGCTTACTGTGTTGAGCAAAAAAACGAAAAATGACTTCACCGATTTCTACAGAACTCATACATGGTCTCTGTTGCTTTCCAGGGAATAGACCGAACCCTCAAGTCGGCTGAAAAAGTCATTGAAAAAGATGAAATGCCATCAAGGAGCTTGTGGCATAAAGTGATTTACAGCCTGGGTGGAGCAGAGTGAGATTGCGTACTGGCAGGGGAGAAGGTGGGCAAGTCCAAGTGACCAAGCACATCTGGTCTGTCCAGGTGAAAGTGGCAACCTTCTCGGCGAATCGACTGACAAGCCTCCTGCTGTACTTTCTGCATAGCGGCATTCCCTTTTCACAGAATGCCATCAATTCCAGTAGACCTACCTAATATCCATCCATCCATTTTCTAATCCGCTTACCCTCACAAGGGTCACAAGCGTGCTGAATCTTCGGGCAGCAGTACACCCTGAACTAGTTGCCCGCCAATCGCAGGGCACACATCGACGAACAACCATTCGCGCTCACACTTATACCTTGGGACAATTTCGAGTGTTCCATTAACCTGCCGTGCATGTTTTTAGAATGTTTGAGGGAAACTGGAGTACCCGCAGAAAACCCACGCAGGCACAGGGAGAACATGCAAACTCCACACAGGAAAACCTACAAAATATATCTAAAATATCGATCCTTACTTTTTGTAACTTCATGGTACCTTAGACCACCTGCCTAAATTCTGATATTTTATGAAGTGATTTGTGCAAAAAAATCATCACATTGAATATCATCCCTGTAAATGGGTTTTCAGTGTGGTTGTCCGTACAGTACATGAAATTGTCAATTTTTTTCTCAGAAAGCTCTTATAATTCCTCTGGATTTCTCATACTGATGTCCACCGAGCATACAATATGCACATGCCGTCTTCCCAAAATAATGGGTGGCACGACCGAACTTTTCGAGTTGCTATTACTGCACTGCGATTTCATACCACAGATAAATTCACCATTCAAGGAGATGATATGATGAGGCCGTTCATGCCTCGGCATATCCGCTCCTCCTCTTAAACGCTTCTTTTACCTCTGAAAATGCTTTGTTCCTCCCACGCTTGATTGACATGAGACCCACGACACCCTCTGGCCTCTTGAACTACAAATTTTCTCTCAAATCGGATCTCCAGTGGCTTTGAAGCCGCTGCGAAAAATGCCACTCTGCATCAGATGCTTTGCGATGATGAGCTCTTACGGCTGCAAATTCGCACTGGACATACCGAGTGAAGGCAGTGAGGTGATGCTGAAGTTCAAACCCAGCCCCCTTTGTAAGTAATGCTGAATTAATCTAGCATTAATTCATGTGCCAGACGCATTTCATTCTCATACTCTGATATTCTACAAAGTGACTCATGCATTAAATCAAGGTAATTCATTTTTCAGACATTATGCGTCAAACATTAGCCCGGTAAATGGTTTTTCACGACCCGGCATGCATATTTAAAAAGTTCTCTCGCTCTCCTGGGGCTTCGTTTATTTTCAGTCAAACCCGACATGTTGAACCCTCGTTCGCAAACAAACTGGTGAGATGCCTTTACCTGAAATACTCCTTCATCCAGTAGTCGTGATCCAAAGACAACAATGCCCTCCGTGCTGACGTCTCTGTCGTCTCCTCGTGTTAGCGTCAGCGTCTCGACCATGTGACAGTCCAAAAAGAGTGTGACGGACTGGCCCTGTACGCTGTAGGCTATCCTGTGCCACCTGGAAGAGCGAAGCAAAATACAGCGACGTTGCAATGTTTGCATTTAGAATGTGATTTTAGGACATTGATTGATCCTAGCTAGCTACGTTTTGCATTTTTAAAACCGCTGGCAAGATTTGGATGGTTCCTTGCTTCACTGAATATTAAGTTTGTAGTCAGGGGAATTTTTTTACAGAACACTGCCAGCTTCAACAAAATAACGTTAGAAATGCAAAGCTAGCATTAGCACTGCAAACAAGCCAAGGTTAGCCACGCCTGCTGCGTTGGTAGCATGACTTATTTGTACAAAGTAATACAATGACACAAACTGTTGGTTTGAAGTATATTTTTGGGACCCTCCAGTGAAATTCAGAAAGAAATTGATGAATTGACAATCCTCCCAGCTGCTTAAATTCCATCCCGCTATGCTTCAGTTCGCTAATCTTGTGCCCAAACAAGATGTCAATGGTGGAGTCTTGCTAACTTGCACCAAATGTCTTCAACTGTTGCCAATGAACACAAAGATGCCAGCTTCCGAAAAGACATTTCAACTATAAAATATATGGCTTTTTTTTTTCTTTCAAATTTCAGAAACTGACAGTTGCTGATTAACACCCCCCCCCCTTCCATTTGCACTTCATTGGGTGCTATTCTGGTACACAAATTAGTCATCCTTCCTAAAAAAAAATCAAGGCCTGGTTAAATCGATGACTTTATGTCTCGGCCTGGCTGAATCATCGTCCTGTGGTTGAGGAAAGACAGAGAGAGGCTACCATCTGAGCAAGCACGGAAAGGTCGATGAAAGACATATTTGAATTCTTCTTGTAAGACGTCCAACCGCTGAATATACTCACTCTCCATCGGCCAGGTTGACGTCCTTGAACGTGGGATATGTTGTGGGCTGCCCGGCTGCCCGGCCCTGATACAGGAAGACGGGCGAAGGGCCCACTTCGAGCCCCAGCTGCTGCACCCCATGTTCGTCATACACAGACAGTAGAAATGACTGCGATCCCTTTCTGGCTCGCACGGTGGCCAACAGGGAGAAATTTACAGGGAATGTGGACTCTGGAGAGGAAATGCTTCTAGGTCAGCTTGCAGATATTGACTTGAACCACACAAAGTAGGGCTGAACAATTAAGCACATTCAAATTGACATCGCAGTGTCCTAATGAATGCCGAAGATGGCTAGCTTAACCGATACGACATTATACAGTCAAACCTCGGTTTTCGAACGTTTCTGTTCTCAACCAAATCGGTTTTCGACCAAAAATTCCGAGTTTTTTTTTATGCCTCGGATTACGACCGAAAATCGGTTCTCGACCAAACTGAGTGCACTTGAATGCGCCACTTGACATCCTTACATGAGGAAGTGACGCTTCCTCGTGTGGCGTTCCATTGTGAGCAGACGTGTTCAATAAAGATTTTTTTTTTTTTTAAAAAAGAGCGTGGTTTCTGTTTTCAAACAAATCGGTTTCGAACAGCCTTCTGGAACAGATTATGGTCGAAAACCAAGGTATGACTGTGTGTGTGTGTGTGTGTGTATATATATATATAAATAAATGAGAAACCTAATATTGTGTATTGTAATAGATTGATTTAATTTCATTCTTTTTCAAAATTGTTCAGCCCTAATACAATGTAATTAAAAAAAAAAATGCGCCACCACCTGGCTCTCACGAATGGAGCTTGTGGCAATTGTAGGCAAGCCAATCCCGTCAATGTCACCATTAAACTCTCCCTCTGTTGTTGTCTCACTCTGTTAAGTGCCGGTTACTGCCGAGCCAAAAGAGTGGGATTGAGTGCGGCTGCAAGCCAGTCTTATAAGTGCACAGACTTCCTGCTGCCCAAGAGCTGGAAGAGGCAATCTTCCCGGGAGATTTGGTGGCAGGTGGCCGGGCTTTGTCGGATGTTGTTATGGGATCGTGGTACTACACCATCCCGCCTCTAATCCTGTCGCGGTACACCTGACAGCTGCATGAGCATCACACTTTTGCCTTTGGAATCACGATGCACCGGACTGAACCCTCAATTCCACGCTTGTTGTTCTTTTCCAGAAAATTGCTTTCTTCACGCCGCTGACCGGCTAAAATGACCTTTCGATCAGGCCTTAAGGCGCCAGCTGTTGCTTCGGCATGCAAATGTGTTTTCATGCCAATTCAGAGCTTTGTATGCCGCCAGTATTGCAAAGAAGTAAAAGAGACCATTCAAAGTAACTCGTTAGCATGTAGCATTGTAAACATCGGAAATTAGCCGGCTCCAGGCGAATTTACCTCCCGAATTTATCTTTCGCTCGCCATATGGCGCGAGTTTGCCATTCCCGAGAAATAGCACATTACATTTCACGGCGTTTGCTCAGCAAACAAGTGTCTTTGGAGTGCCCTCAATCCCCCAAGCGTTGCAACAAAGCAGTAAAAAAAGAATAAACCGTGAATCGCATTCAGCCAACGGGAAAACGGGATGAAAAATATAACATGAACACCTCGGGATTTGCCGCCGCAAACAATAGAAACCATAGCGTCCGCGACATATGTTCATTCAGACTTGGTCAATGATAACCATGATATATGGGACCATATAATAGTGTTATCTACCCGATATATTCGTTCTGGGGCATCATATCATTTACAGCGAACGTAGCGCGAGATTTTCTGGCCGTGCAGGTTAAAGTGAGGCTGCTTCGTGGAGTGTTAACGCAATCAGGCCGCAGCAGCGATACATATTTGTTTTGCTTGGGGCTAAGCATCGTTAAAATGTGATCCTACTTCTTGCCAGGGTACTTTATCGTCCCCTGGTCCACTCCTTGCATCACATCGCGTCTGAGATGAAATCCGTAATGTTTATATTCAGCCGGCTTGTTAGTCCGATACCCCCCCCCCAGTGAGCTCTTTGTTGCTCTCCTTTCGATTCCTGACTGCAAATCAATTTCCCCTTTGGGAAAGAAAAGTTAAATGCGTGTAATTGAGTGGAAGGTCGAGTATCTCATTAAATGATCTGGTCTCTGCCAAGCAGAGAGATTTTAGGGCCACATTTGCACCAAACATTGTCTTGCTTTCGCCTCCTCGGCGCCTCATTTACCGCATCTTCACATTGTCTCATTAAAAGCGCTCCACGTCTTTCTACACGTGTATGATAGTTGAGAATGTTAAAATGTGACTTCAAAGATTGCCTGTATAGGTCATGAGCTTTTGCGATGACTGTAGTTTATTATTTGGAACTGATTTCGTTCCTTTCCACCGAAATTGGAGGCTGACCAGAAAACACGGCGTTAGATTTCTAGCAACTTGACTGTTGTGCAACTTTTGACAGCGGCGGCAGGAACAAAAATGCATCCGTGCCAGATTGTTCTGCTCAGTGCAAACTTATCGCTTTTCCACATCAGGGGAGGAAGTGTACTTCTTGAGTCTGATGGATTCTATTCCTGTGAATGCCGCTCTGATCTTTTCAAAATGTCCTCAGAAGTAACTCAATGAGTATTTGCTTACAGGTGGCTCATTGGCAAACATGACAACCTGTCAGCGCTGACCTTGAACTCCATGAAGTACGTTGCTTCTTTGACTTTCTCGGGTTCTTATTTCTTTCCCCGAGTGTGTGTTGCCGAAAAGCAAAACACGCGAATACAACAAGACACTGTTGACCTTCTGGCATGTTGAACCCTTTTCAGGGACAGCGGTTACTACAGTGGACAGCTTATCACGTTATCAGGTTACAGGGTGCATGAAAGGGTTAAGATAAAGAAAGTGAGGGGGGGGGGGGAAAACATTTTAAAGGGGGGGGAAAAAAAACCTCTTTGGGGAAAAGCAAAAATCCTAAGAATGGAAAAAGAAGTTGCAATCGTAAGTAAAGGAAGGGAGGGGGGGGGGGGTACACATGTTCAATGGTGCGGAAAAAAAACCTCTTTGGGGAAAAGCAAAAATCCTAAGCATGGAAAAAGAAGTTGCAATCGTAATCTCACATCTCGTACAATCCGTGCAGGGGATAAAAAGACATTTCACACCCCAGTGTGCAGAGTAAACTGGGACAGGTTTTGGCAAACATGACATGGGGGGTTGCGGGAGGGGGAGCTAACTCGGAATGAGAAGCATACAATTATGTTAATGGTTTGTTGGAACCTCTTTACCTGAAAAAGCTCATTGTTGACTTTGCTGCTCTGTGGTTGCGCAGTGCAGCACGTTTTGGAAATATCACAACATCCCTATGGAGTGACGAATTGTTTTGAAATCGCAGAACAAGGTCAGAGAACATGGGAAAGAAGCTCAAGCATCCATTAATTACGATCTATAAGAATTTACGCGCATACTTTATAAATCATGCTCTTCGGCTTGCTTGTTATTGTCCGTGTTCAGCGTGCCAAAATGCCACCCAATGGGACGATTCCACTTTGCGTTTGACATTTGACACAGCCAAGCTCCTCCGCATGTTTGAGTCACGCGTGAACATAATGTGATCTCTGTGTTTGTGTCCCCAAATCATCTCGGAAACATCCCGCCGTGACTCACACCACCTACACATCCCAGTCCGGCCCGGAAAAAAAAAAAAACAAAAAAAAACACACTAGGCCTCGTACAATGCTACACTGTAAGATGTGAGCTATTGCACATGAGAGCGAGTGGGGGGAATTGAACAAGAAAGCGAGCCAAGAGGAATCTGGGCAGCGGGAGTTTCCCATCGTTTCTTGGACCGCACCCTGTATAAGAGCGGAGGAGCGGGGGAAGAAAAAAAAAAACGATGATTGAACTTCGATATGGTGCTTGGAGATGCATATCTGTGTCAGATTGGGATTTGCATGACAGTGGGTGGAGCAAACTTCAATATTCCGGATTTATGTTCTAACAGACAGCTCGACGTATGGAGGGAGGGTGAGTCGAAAATATGACAACCCAGAACTAATCAAATCAAAATGCGTATTGGTCAATTTCCGACATTTTTTAAAAAATGAATTAACTCCAAGCAGGCGATGTCAATGCAAACAGGAGAAAATGTGAACTTGATGACGGCGCGGACATTTGAAGCTAATGGTAGCATTTCCGAAGCACACGGTGGACCTTCGCTTAGCAACAGGATTCATTTGGCAAACTAACTTGAGTATTGTTTCTGAAATGATTTGATCTCAATTGAGAATCGATGATGACAAAGTGGACATGTTAAGCCTGACAACATCCGGCAACACATCCGATGATGAAAATGACAAAATATTGAGTCTGCAACTAGCCACTGTTTCCGCCTCCATTGACGTAAAACAAAATGCTGGTCGCCATGTCGCTGAAATCAGCAGAGGGATTCTTAAAGGGACAGTTAGCCCATAATGACAGGGTGGACAGACATTTTAGGTGCATACAGACAGAATATACTGTATGATCAAAATGACTCATTTGATCAATTACCTTGTTATGGGTAGAACAACGATAAATAAATATTGTCACATAGCCACGTAATATGCACACTGAGTTCTAATTTTATTGACCATGCATCTTCACTGTCGCACAAATTATGGGAGATCCTGATTTTTGTAAGGCTTACTGCTCAACTTTGGGGAATTTGCCGGCCCGTTCGCCGCCAACATGGGTGTGTTGGTTGAAGGAGTGTCTTGAAGATGCACCCGCCAGACATTTAGGTGCAAGGAAGGAGATCACGCCCATCACCGGCGCAGGGACAGCTTTTATATATTTTTTTAAATCATCCCAAGCGGCCACTTCACAGTGCAGATGTGCTTCCGCTGTGTCCAGAATCCAGTATGCGACGAGCGCACCACATTTCAAGGGAATAAAAGTAACCACTTTGGCCGTGATTGAAGTTGACTGTGACTACCCCCACAGCGACGCCGCCCTGCCTCTCACAGATCCCCCTGGGCCTGCAATTTAATCTCAGATTTGTACTCGTTCAACTATTTTTGCGTGTTCATAGCTGTTAAAAAAAAAATGACAGCAAGCTAATTTTAATACCAGTACATAAGACGCTGGTTTGCTTGAAGACGACAAAATGAGAAGCAAGAGGTTATCACAAGGGCACTTAGTGGGCCGTGTGGGGCGCGTCGGGTTCTGCTTTTAGTTACCACTTACGTTGCCGGACCGTGTCGAGAGGTTGAGGAAG